AGTACACTTTAATTTTGACTCAGATATATGTTCTGTTTCATTACTAGGTAAGATTTGATAGTGTTGGTGGTCTGTCTAGTCATATTGCAGCTCTAAAAGAGATGGTGGTGTTTCCCTTACTTTATCCAGAAGTCTTTGAGAAATTTAAAATTCAACCCCCAAGGTAATCAAACTCTGGTTTTACTTGTAGCCATAATCTATGCTACTGTTGCTTCTTATAGTTTTTAGACCTTCACTTTTTTTTTTTTTTTTTTTTTTGTCTTTTTGAGACAGGGTCTCCCTGTAGCCCCAGCTGGCCTGGAACTTACTCTGTAGACCAGAGATCCTCCTGCTTCTGCCTCCCAAGTGCTGGGATTAAAGGCATGCGCCACCAGGCCCAGCTTAGACCTTTACTTTCAGTGTGTGTGTGTATGTGTGCGTGCACACAAATATTCATATGCAAGCATGTGGAGGCCAGAGGAAGATGTTGAATGAGGCTACTCTGCCTCATTCCCTTGAGAGGCTCTCTTACTGACTCTGGAGCTAGGATGGCAACCAGCAAGCCCCAGGATTCGTCTTATCTCCAGTATCCACCCCGACCCCCATCACCACTGGGACCAGATTCTACCTGGGATCTGGGAATTGAATTTAGGTCCTCGTGCTTATGCATCTCAGTAGTCTTCCTGCCTAGGAGCCATCTCCCCAGCCCTCTTAAATTTTTGCTTGTTAACCACTTTTAGCTGGTTCCTTGTTTTCTTTTTCTTATACAACATTTCTCCCTGAATCATCCAGTATGAGACACTGACAAACTTTGTGTGTTTTTGGTTTGGTGTGGGGGGTGAGGGTCATTTTTGCTTTTGAGGCATGATCTTACTATGTAATCCCTGGCTGCCCTAGAACTGGTTGTGTAGACCAGGCTGGCTTTGAACTCATAGAATAGAGATCCACCTGGCATTGCTTCCAGTGTGCTAGGATTAATGTCGTGTACCACCACACCCAGCACAGTTTAAACTTTCAAATTTTTCTCTAAATTATGTGTGGGGGGGGCGTGAGTGTATGCATGTGAGTGCCCATGTTGGATCCCCTGGATCTGGAGTTTCTGCAGCTGGTTATGAGCTTTCTGTTATGGATGCTGGGAATATAACTTGGGTCACGTGCTAGAGTAATGTACCATCTTAACCTCTGAGCCATCCCTCCAACCCCATAAAGCCTTTTAAAATTGAAAGCTATTTTTTATTTTGTAAAAGTTTGGACCATAAAACAATCACAGTTAAATATTGGTGAATTTGAAACCTAAATTTTACAATTATAAAGTATTAATACTTCTTACAGGAATTGATGGAAGTCTTACTAAAATAATTTAGTGGTCTGGGGATATAGCTGAGTTGGTATAGTGCTTGTTTGCCCTGAACACAAGCCCTGATTTTTACCCCAGTACCACATCAGATCAGAACTCAGGAGTTGGAGGCAGGAAGATCATGATCTTAAAGTTACCCTTGACTGGCTACATGAGTTTGAGGCCAGACTACATGAGACTGTCTGAAAACAAAAATAGTAATCAGTATTACATAATGAGGTAAAAGAATAAACCGTGGGCCAGCAAGGTGGCTTAGTAGGTAAAGCGCAAAAGCCTAGTGACATGACACCCCAGAATCCCATGTAAAGGTAGGAGAGAACCAGCTCCACAAGGTTGTCTTCTGACCTCTACATGCATGCCATGGTATATGCACACTTTTGCACACATACACACCCATTAATATTTTTTTAAATGATAAGCTTATTTTCTGTATATTTCTCACCAAAATACTAACCCTTCCCAAGCCAGGTGTGCTGGGGCACACCTTTAATCCCAGCATTTGGGAGGCAAAGGGAGGCGATCTTATGAGTTCCAGGCCAGCTGGGGCTACAGAGAGACTTTGTCTCAAAAAGACAAAAAAATAAAATATTAACCCCTCCCATAAAAATTGAGAGGGAGCCAGGCGTGGTGGCACACGCCTTTAATCCCAGCACTTGGGAGGCAGAGGCAGATCTCTGTGAGTTACTTTAATCCCAGCATTTGGGAGGCAAAGGGAGGCGATCTTATGAGTTCCAGGCCAGCTGGGGCTACAGAGAGACTTTGTCTCAAAAAGACAAAAAAATAAAATATTAACCCCTCCCATAAAAATTGAGAGGGAGCCAGGCGTGGTGGCACACGCCTTTAATCCCAGCACTTGGGAGGCAGAGGCAGATCTCTGTGAGTTAAAGGCCAGCCTGGTGTACATAGTGAGTTCCAGGCCAGCTGGGGCTACAAGGTTTTTTTTTTTTTTTTAAAAAAAAAAAAAAAAAAAAAAAAAAATTTGAGAGGGAATTATGTGATTGTTATATAATGATGTGATTGTGTTATATGATTCTATATGTAAGGTAAGGTAATGCATATTGAACATGACCAAGTAGTAAAATGTTTCAGTTGAGGGATTTTATTTCATTTTTGTATTAATTTTATAGTATTGATATTAACTTCCTGATTGTGTTTTGTGTAATAAACTTGTTTCATTTGTTTTATACTTAACTCACTAAATGAGTTAAATTAGTGAGTTATGAAATTGGTTCTTAATTTTTGTTTGAATGGTCCACTTTTTAATTTAATACTAAGATGCTTAACATATTTTACAGAGGTTGTTTGTTTTATGGTCCACCTGGAACTGGAAAAACTTTGGTTGCTAGAGCACTTGCCAATGAGTGCAGCCAAGGGGATAAGAGAGTGGCGTTTTTCATGAGGAAAGGTGCTGATTGTCTGAGTAAATGGGTAGGGGAATCTGAAAGACAACTCCGATTGCTATTTGATCAGGTATGGTATTAAAATTTACCTCTATAGTTTTGTAAATCTACAGATGGAAAATGAGTGCAGCCAAGGGGATAAGAGAGTGGCGTTTTTCATGAGGAAAGGTGCTGATTGTCTGAGTAAATGGGTAGGGGAATCTGAAAGACAACTCCGATTGCTATTTGATCAGGTATGGTATTAAAATTTACCTCTATAGTTTTGTAAATCTACAGATGGAAGTATATAAGGATTACATTTTCGTTCAATC